GAACCTGCATCTGGGCACGGAAGCTGATGCTGACTCTGATCGGCACGCGCTGCTCGTGCGGTGCCTGCCATCGCCAGCGAAGGACCTGCGCACCAAGCAGCTGATGCTTGGCAACCAACCGGACCGGACGGGTTTAGGGTTTCTGCTAGGGTGTTGGGTTTAGCAAGGGATTAAGACTCGCACCCAAAAGGTTGTACCCCTTAAGGCTCTCCTTTTTATACTCGGCCCGTATATTCCCTTGTCCGCCCAGGAACATCGGTCACAGGCGGTCCTTCCTCGATAACTATCAGGATGTGTCCCTTGCAGGCATTTTCCTTCAGCTTTCAATGTTGGTACTTTGGGTATTATCCTTAACTTCCTAAGGTTTTTATTTTATAGTCCTGATAAACTCCCAGGCTGGAGATGGTGGACACTTGTCTGGCGCACAAGCAGTCCGTCCTTTTCTACTGCAAGAAAGGGCGGCACAGGAGCCCTCTGGCATTGCTGGTCTACCTGGTGCTCTTCCGTGGTGCTGCCTGGCCTAGTTGTGCTCGCTTTCGTTTTTTTTTGCGGCTCATGTTTTTCACAGTTCTCACCACAAGACACGCAGGCGCACACAGTTCTCATGGTACCTGGTTATGGGGGTAGTTCTCTGTCTGTGTGGGTGTACAAGTCTTGAACCTGAACCCTAAACCCTAAACCGCAAAACCAAGATGGACGCAGACGCTGCTGAAGCGCTCATCCATTCCAGACGGCCGAATGCCCAGAAGCTTCCGCTGACATCAGAACTTTTTTGGGTTTATGCCAGTTCAGGCGTTCTGGGTAACTTCGGGTTTGGAGGGAGATTCAGGCCTTAGGTGGTCGAGGGTTTAGGGGTTAAAGTGACGACAACTACTTCTACGGCTATTAGCACCACCGACATTTGTGCTTAGTAAAGTTTCAAATTCGTTGCCATCACCCCTGCCCCAGTGCCAGCCATCCCAGGATATGGAGGATGTATGACAAGTACTACGTCTGGCAAGTCTTGCACCGGCGGCTCCAAAAGTGCTCCCGAGCCCAGGGTTTTCGAGATCAGCCTGAACTTAACCTCAAACCCCTCAGCCCCTAAGCCTTAATTAAGCTTTAGCCCTAAACCCTAAACACCCTGAGGGTTCCCAAACTGGAGCGTCATAATGCACCAATAATGCCTGTGAACCCAACCCATGCAGCCATGCAACCTAAACACGCAGAGGCCCTCTTCCCCTGAGTACGTGAACCTCCTTTCGGGTTATTTGCGCGGCCTGATGTCGAGGTAGCATCAATTACGGAACTGAGGGTTGGCCCCTGGCCCTATAGTACCCTCTTCCCCTTGAATGCGGTTGGGTTTAATCAGTGACTGAGATATAATTGGTGTTGGCCCGCGTCTCTTTCCTTCTGGAATACCCTGCTGTGGCACTGAACCGATCGTCATTCCTGATGTTTCTCATGCCCTCTAACTTTCCTCATTCTTGCTGGCAAAGGTCCTTTGCGTGCTGGCTGCCGCCAATGATTGTCAGACTCCAAGGCAGAGGAGTCTTTGACTTTCAGGGACATCAGATAGGAGAAGCGGCTGAGTTGGCATGGGATAACGATTCGGGAGTGTTTGTTATGTTCTGAACTTGAGTCATTGATGGTGCGTCAGGGTCTGTAGGCTGTTGGTGATTTTGACGGGGGTGGGGGGTGGGGGGGTGGGGCCAGAGGCTTCAAAACCCGAACCAACCCAAAAACCAGCATCCCAAGCGGTCGCACAAATGGGGCCCCGGTCTCAGTAGATCCTACAACCCCCACGGGTCTGGGTGTCGTTAGGCTCTGGCACTGAGGTGTCCTCGGTGCCAGGAACTGCCGCCAGCCGTTGATTGTTCCCGTGTGGCATGTCATGTCTGTCATTTGGATTGCTCTGCCGTTGCCCAGGTGACAAGATCATCCTGCGCAACGGTTTCGAGGCATCCGTCTGGCCGCCTACGCTTTGATGAGTGTTGGGTTTGGGTTTGGACTTCGGCTTGCTTCTCCTGTTTCCGAGCGGCCACTATTCGTTGTCTGCATTCTTTCCCTGAGTTGCAAGCCGCTGTTCGATGTTTCCTCTGCCAATGTCAGCCCTAGAGAGAGAAAAAAGGTTTGGTTTGGGTAGGCTGTTCCCCTTTCGGGCAGTGGCGGTTCAGAGTTTAGGTTCCACGCAAGGGCTGCAATGTAATGTAATCGCAAATGCGCGTGGACTGCCACTTGCCAAAACACCTCTTGCAGAGTCCTGGGTTTGTCGCCTGAACTTCTTTGCCCGGTACGTAGGTTTCCTTCTGACTGCCCCCCAGGTCGCCTCCATCGTTGACGATGAGTTGGTTCGTCAGTCAGCCCGGTTTAGCCTCAGCGCCCTTTGCTATGACTGGTCTGTTCGGTAGAAGCACACCCGGAAGTCAGGGTGATGAGCGCTAGAATTCCAAACAGTGCTAGTATTTTAACTGCCACACTCCGTTTTACCACCGAGGCTTCCTCGGTGGAAACGATCTACAACGACGACGACGACTACTACTACCACCAGTACGACTAGTACAAGTACGCTATATACCACCGAGGCTTCCTCGCTGGGTAGCATCAGACACGAAAAGATCTACAACTACGACTACTGTAGCTACTTCACGCGTTTTACCACCGAGGCTTCCTCTGTGGATAGCATCGTACAGAAAAAATCTACAACCACGACTAACTACTCTACTTACTACACTCGTTTTACCACCGAGGCTTCCTCGGTGGATAGGACTGCACTCGTTTTACCACCAAGGCTTCCTCGGTGGATAGTATCACACACGGCAAGATCTACAACCACGACTAATGTACTCTACTTACTTCACGGGTTTTACCACCGAGGCTTCCTCGGTACAAGAGCCACAACTACGACTACTCTAGTTACGTCACTGGTGTTACCATCGAGGCCTCCTCTGTGGACAGCATCATACACGACAAGATCTACAACCGCGACTGCTGTAGTTATTACACTCGTTTTGCCACCGAGGCTTCCTTGGTGGATAGTCTCATACACGAAAGATCTACAACCATGACTCCTCCGTACTTCACTGGTCTTCCCACCGAGGCTTCCTCTGTGGATAGCATCCTACACGAAAAGACCGAGAACTACGACTACTGTACTTATCACACTCGTTTGACCGCCGAGGCTTTGTCGGCGCATAGCATCAGACACGAAAAGACACACAACTAGGACGTTTGTTGATGCCGGGTCCCGGCAACAATTCCCAAAAGAAAGACATGCTCTATTTAATTGAGAAAGTGGTGTTTTCCATTTCTTGTACTGACAGAGTCTTCACGGGTTTCTGTAAGCGTTTGGAAATTTGCAAACGTGAAAATCCCCCCCTGACCCCACACCCCCACTCCCCCTCCTCCCCTCCCCCCTCCACCCCCCCCACCCCCCCCCCACCCGCCCCAAAAACCTTTGTTTGTTGATGCCCCGACATCAATTCCCAACTTGAAGACTTGGTCTATGTAATCCAGAGAGTGGTGTTCCCCCAAGGCCGCCTCGCAGGGAGCTGGTGGACCTCGCCCCGTGTCAGTTGGGGCCCGAGCATGTTTTTTTTTTTTTTTTTAAGAGGGCGGACTTTAAGCTTGTGGGTTTTTTTCTGTCTGAACTTCGTGGCGGCAGCTGGCAGCGAAGTGGCAGTGGATCTGTGGAGCCGAAGGATCTCGGGCTTGACCCAAGTTCAGGACAAACGCCCCAAAGGCAGTACCAGCAGCTCTGCAACCACAGATATGAGCGGTTCCTCTCCCGGCGAAGCTCATCCAAGCGTTCGCGCGGAGCTAGACGAACAGGGCCTCGGGCCATTTCGGTCCCCAAGGCCACAATGGTGTGGCACTATATGGCAAGCTTCTGCGCCAGATCGCTGACTCACAGTCAAGCCAGTGAGGGGCCAGCATCCTAGACACGGACCGTCGCTGGACGTGAGTCCCCCTGAACCCTATGGGTTTAAGCCCAAACCCCGCAATTTAGTTAGCCCGGGTGCGCACCCCAACAGCGTGCCCAGGCCACCTCATGCTGATCCTCATCCGGGGCGCCGCGGCCGCATTTGGGCAAAAGGCGGCCAATATTGAGGGCGTAAGTCGTGTTAAACAAAGTAGCCCGAAGCCCACAAATTACTTTCATATGCCCGGACTCTGTGCTGAGGCCGAGACTTTGGGGAGGATATGGCAGCTCGTTGAGGTCGATGGTGATGATACCTGGGCACACTGTCGGGGTGTGTGACCCGGGGGAGTGCCCGAGGCTGCCAGCCGCTGGTCGCCGCGCACTCATGTGACTCTCATGTGGAGGGTTTTAGGGTCTTATGGGGTCCTCAGTAAATTTAGCCCCTGAAATTAACTGCAAACGCATGCCGGACTTCCTCTGTGGATAGCATTATACATGAAAAGACCTACAGCTACGACTACCATAGTTTCTACATTCGTTTGACCACCGAGGCTTCCTCGGTGGATAGTATCACACACGAGAACATCTACAACTATGACTACTCTACGTACTTCGCGGTTTTTACCAGCGAGGCTAAGATCTACAGCTACGACTACTGTAGTTATTACACTCGCTTTACCACCGAGGCTTCCTCGGTGGATGGTACACGAAAAGATCTACAACCATGACTACTCTAGTTTCTGCACTGGTGTTACCACCGAGGCTTCCTCTGTGGATAGCATCAGACACGACAAGAATTTCAACTACGACTACTGTACTTCTCGCACTCGTTTGAGCACCGAGGCTTCCTCGGTAGATAGTGTCACACACAAAAAAGATCTACAACGATGACTACTCTACTTTCTTCACGGGTTTTACCACCGAGGCTTCCTCGGTGGTAAAACCATACACGAAAAGCTCAAGAACTACAACTGCGACTGCTCTGGTTACTTCACTGGTCTTGCCACCGAGGCTTCCTCTGTGGACAGCATCATACACGAAAAAACTCAAGAGCTACAACTACAACTACTCTAGCTACTGCACTGGTTTTACCGCCGAGGCTTCCTCTGTGGATAGCATTATACGCGAAAAGACCTACAGCTACGACTACCGTAGTTGCTACACTCGTTTTACCACCGAGGCTTCCTCTGTGGATAGCATTATACACGAGAAGACCTACAACTACGACTACCATAGTTGCTACACTCGTTTTACCACCGAGGCTTCCTCTGTGGATAGCATTACACGCGAAAAGACCTACAGCTACGACTACCGTAGTTGCTACACTCGTTTTACCACCGAGGCTTCCTCTGTGGATAGCATTATACCCGAAAAGACCTACAGCTACGACTACCGTAGTTGCTACACTCGTTGTACCACCGAGGCTTCCTCTGTGGATAGCATTATACGTGAAAAGATTTGTGGATAGCATTATACACGAAAAGACCTACAGCTACGACTACGTTTTACCACCGAGGCTTCCTCTGTGGATGGCATTAGACACGAAAAGACCTACAGCTACGACTACCGTCGTTGCTACACTCGTTTTACCACCGAGGCTTCCTCTGTGGATAGCATTATACACGAGAAGACCTACAACTACGACTACCATAGTTGCTACACTCGTTTTACCACCGAGGCTTCCTCTGTGGATAGCATTAATAAATTACACGCGAAAAGACCTACAGCTACGACTACCGTAGTTGCTACACTCGTTTTACCACCGAGGCTTCCTCTCTGGATAGCATTCTGCCCGAAAAGACCTACAGCTACGACTACCGTAGTTGCTACACTCGTATTACCACCGAGGCTTCCTCTGTGGATAGCATTATACACGAAAAGACCTACAGCTACGACTACGTTTTACCACCGAGGCTTCCTCTGTGGATGGCATTAGACACGAAAAGACCTACAGCTACGACTACCGTAGTTGCTACACTGGTTTTACCACCGAGGCTTCCTCTGTGGATAGCATGATACGCGAAAAGAACTACAGCTACGACTACCGTAGTTGCTACACTCGTTTTACCACCGAGGCTTCCTCTGTGGATAGCATTATACACGAGAAGACCTACAGCTACGACTACCGTAGTTGCCACACTCGTTTTACCACCGAGGCTTCCTCTGTGGATAGCATTACACGCGAAAAGACCTACAGCTACGACTACCGTAGTTGCCACACTCGTGTTACCACCGAGGCTTCCTCGGTGATTTACCACCGAGGCATCCTCGGTGGCTAGCTATCATGCGCAAAAAGATCATCAAGAGCCATCCTAACGCCTAAGCGCTAAACCTTTTGCAACACCCCTAAACCTTAAAATACTTCAATCCCAGAACAGCCCCGAACCCTGGACACTGTGCCAGGACAACCCCGAACCCTGGACACTGCGCCATTCCAAGCCCCAAACCAAGCCCTTTTGCAACAGGCTTCAGTATCCGCCTGGATGCGTCGCAGACTGAGCCCTACACCCTGAACCCTTATGCCATCCTGAACACCTAAACCATGCTAAGCCTTAAGCCCCCCCCCCTCCCCCTAAGCCTTTTGCTATGATAGGCAGACAAGATGAGTTCCTAAATGTCCCAAGCAGTGAGCCCTATGCCATCCTAAACACTAGATCCCAGAGCATCCCTAAACCATCCAGGGCCAACACAATTACACAGACTTCCCCCCGCCCCCCCGCCCGGTTTCCCCCACCCTTGAACCCCATGTGAAGTTCCTTTATCCCGCGGCCTGTTGTCACAAACTCTGCGGTCTCTCGCCCTCGCTGTCTCTGTAGGTCCAGTAACTGGCAGCGGCAGCTACTTCTGCGGCGGAGGCCGGGAAACAAGCATTGCCTGCTGCATCACTGCTCTTGTCCCTGCTGTGGTCAGCTTGTGTTCGCACCTTGCTGCCAGTGAAAGGATCGGCCCATGATAAAGAATAAACCCTGAGCTCCTTGGCTTAGAGAGGGTTTAGGGCTTCTTCTCGATTAACATAACGCAATGTCAGAATCATGCCTGTCATGCATGAGGCTTCAGAGGCTATGGTTTCTATGCCATGTGGACACACGTACAACGGCCCCATGGCCTTCACGCAAAAGTTCTAACATGTACACAGCACCAGCTCTTTTTTGAAGTGCCACGATGTCCTGTCCACCACCGCCTCCGCCACCTCTTGCGCAGCAGAGCTCTGAAGCGGCTGGCAGCCGACAGGGCCTTTCCTGGAAGGTGGGCCAGCAGCAAGGCCACCAGCAGCAAGGCCACCAGCTGCAAGGCCACCAGCTGCAAGGCCACCAGCAGCAAGGCCAGCAGCAAGGCCACCAGCAGCAAGGCCACCAGCTGCAAGGCCACCAGCAGCAAGGCCAGCAGCAAGGCCACCAGCAGCAAGGCCACCAGCAGCAAGGCCACCAGCAGCAAGGCCAGCAGCAAGGCCACCAGCAGCAAGGCCACCAGCTGCAAGGCCACCAGCAGCAAGGCCACCAGCAGCAAGGCCAGCTGAACGCTGCCCAAAGGCGCAACCAGACGTTCCGGGAGTCCTTTGGCGGACAGGTGCTGTCCTTTGAGAAACAAGTGGAGACAGTCTCTTTCAAGGTCGACAAGATACAGGAGCAGCAGGACAAGATGCAGGAGCAGCAGAACAAGATGCAGGAGACACTGGCGAAGGGCCTGGCAGACTTGCATATGTATACCCAGGACAAGGAGAAGCTGGTCACCTGCCAATCCCAGCTGCAGGCGTTTACAAAGGCGAACAGCGAGTTCGCGGAGGAGAGCCGCAACTTGAAGCGGCAGCTGGAGGAAAGAGACACGAAGATCAAAACCATGCAGACACTTGGCTGCTGCTCAGAAACACTTCCTTTTTGTGCTTCTCTTGCTGTTCATGCTCCCAGCTCGCTGTAGAAAGCAGACATGTGCTTGCAGCCTTTGTTTTTTCGCACGTGACGCCCAGCTTCTAAAGTCCAGTGTTGCTAAATGCCGTTTTTTCTCCAATCCGTGCTGGACCCCAGGCGTGACCAGAACGAGACCGAGCGACAAAACCGAGTCATGCGCGCCAAAATTGAGGCGACCTGACCAACTTGGCTGTTGCTCCTGTTATGTCAAGATCACTCAAAGATTGATGCCTCGGCCTCACTCGTGATTATATGGTCTGGCCTGTAGGACCTGGAGCTGCAAATCAAGAACAAGGATCTGGAGCTCGCCAGGCGTGGAGCGGGTGGAGGCAGGCCAAGAGCAGCTCAGAGAAACACAGCCCTAAACCCTCAGCAATTGAGCGTAGACTCTGAATCCCAAAACCCGAACCACAACCCGAAACCCTAAGCCCTAAACCCTAAACCCCAAAACCCTAAACCCTAAACCCTCCAAACCTCAAGACACCTGCGCAGAGGCAAACCTGCGAGATGACCTCCTGACCTGAGATGGGGCACACGTCATCCCTAGGCGTCGTTTCTGCGATCCCTGCAAGTGGAACACAAACCGCGAAGCCCAGAAAGAAGGCTGTATAGGGCTACTCCACAGAAGGGGTCGCCTGCAAGCCACACCGAGATCTCCCAGCAGTGGGATGCCGGCCGGCGTGCTGGAAAAGGAAACAGCGCTTGTCAGCGTCAGCGCGAGTGCATCATGAGGTGATCTGGCATGGGCTGCGCGCTCATACACTACCCGAAGCTGCGCTTTTTTGAGCAACTGGCAGGTCTACCGCATCATTCTGGGCGAAACTCGCTGGGCAGCGTGCTTGGCGCAGGACGGGACTGAGATTTCAGTGTTGGAGCACACTGCACATTTGCCAGTGAGTCGTTTGTCATGCAGAAACACAAATCGCAACCGGTTGCGATTTGTGTTTTGCCACAGAAAACTTACACCTCCAAGGTCTCCCCGCTCGAGGCTACACCTGGCATGTTCACAGCACAGATCACTCTGTTAGGATGAAGTCGTTTCTCATTGAAAAAACACAAGTCGCAACCAGTTGCGACTTGTATTTCGCCAGAAAACTTACATCCCAAAGGGCCCTCTGAAGCATGGAAAGCCTCAACAGCACTTAGCCTGGTCCGGGGAGAGCTTTCAGGTCTAACTTTTCAGTGGCAAAACACAAATCGCAACCGGTTGCGATTTGTGTTTTTGCAGGACAAAAGACTAGTTGCCTCACGTGGTGTATTTTTCCAATAAAGCATGTCTATTTGCACTGTCACCTGGAACCCTAGACGCCCTCAACCCTGAACCATACACCTGCCCCTGGAGGCCCTAGAACCCAAAACCCTGAACCCGAAGGCAATGAAACCTGGTGAAGTGAGTCACATGTCAAGCGCCTGCGTAACATGAACGCAACTGTGTGCGAGCTGTATTTTTCCAACCAAGCATGCCCATATTTCTGTGTCACCTGAAACCCCAAGCACTAAACACCCTAAACTCCCTAAACCCTGTTTCGCCTAAGCCAAGGAAACCTTGTCAAGTGAGTCATGCACCAAACTCAAACTCCCCAGAGCATGCAAACAACACAGATCGCAATGGAGCGTCCAGGCTGCACCAGACCTACGTGATATGAGCCTATCGAGACAATGTCTGGGCCCCGATGGCCAGCTGCCGACTCCCGATGTGTCATGTTCTCTGTTGCTACTGACTTCTGATCTGAGAGCACAGCAGTGGAATCTCATGACGTCGCACGGTCCTCAGCGGATAGTCTTTTCTGGAAGCACAGGGAGTCATGAAGTCACGCGGGGCTCAACGGATTTGCGGCTTCTGGGGCTGGTTTCCGGGTTTTCCGAACGCACTCTTTCAGGGAATGTGGTTTAGGCAATGTGAAGCCGCCTTTTCTGAAACAGCCCGCCACATATCAGTCGGCCATGCCACTGTTTTTGCCCAGAGGCCTTGTGCCTCGTCTACTCGAAAACCACACCTAGACCAACGTGAACAACGCAAAGAACACTAGCTTCAGCGCACGCTATAGCGTCGCCCAGCCTTGGAAAGTCTCAACAATCAATGAAGCTTTGGTCCAGCCGTGCCATGATATTGACCCAT